CTATCCTATCCTATCCTATCCTATCCTATCCTATCCTATCCTATCCTATCCTATTCTACTCTACTCTACCCTACCCTATTCTATTCTATTCCTGATTCTTTCTTCTATTCTATTCTATTCTATTCTACTCTACTCTACTCTACTCTACTCTACTCTACTCTACTCTATTCTATTCTTATTAGGATTGTTACATATTCATGTTATCGATTGGTACGAATGTTAACATTCAAAGAAGGTCTAACTAAAGAATATTTGGACCAAAGAGCCGTGGTGGCACAATGGTAGAATGTAGCACCGCAGGCTCCTTCTGCTGACTGCAATTTGGCAGTTCGAATCTCACTAGGCTCCAGGTTGACTCAGCCTTCCATTCTTCCGAGGAGGATAAAATAAGGAGCCAGATTGTTGGAGGCAAAAGGCTGCCTCTGTAAACCGCTTAGAGAGGGTTGTAAAAGCACTGTGAAGCAGTATATAAATGCTATTGCCATTGCTACATCGCAACGTTCTAGGCAAATATGTAAGTCACATGGTTTGTCATTTGGAGTTCTCTTGTGGCCCCCTCCCCCCAATACCTATGGCTCTGAACAGTAACTTTTGGGAGAGTGAATATTTATTTCACATTCTCATCTGGTCTATTTCCAAAAATGCATTATTAGTAGCTGTTTTTGTTCAGCTTAGTGGGGGTTCTCAATCCTTTTTGAATTCACCATACAATATGGAATGTATCCCTTGCTCTGCAGCACGCCAAAAGATTATTAATCATGTATACTGTTAGTCCTTGACTTACAGCAAAGTTGGTTGTAAGTTACTCTTTTTTCTCTTTCTTCTGTACTTCTAAGTTTTACTCCCAGCAATGACATAAATCAAAGGTGTAAGTCAAGGTTGCATGCTCAGGGCTGAGCTATTATGGGAAGAATCTTTCATTTCAACAGCAAGTTGTGTGTTGTCACAAGTTGGCGGTTGAATGTTGGACAAATGCTGCTACCCTGTTTCTCTGAAAATATGACCTCCCCGGATAATAAGCCTAATTGGGCTTTTGAGCACATGCGCTAAAACAAGCCCTCCCCGAAAATAAGCCCTCCCCAAAGATATTTAAATGCATGTACAGCCGATCCCTGCCATTTCCTTGGGGGGGAAGAGGGAGAACATACTCCACGCGCTCTTCATGTAACTGTCATCCACATTGAATGGCCTTGTGGAGGCTGCACCCGCAAACCCTTATCTACCACACCCCTTCTCTTAGTGACAGCCGCAAAAAACAGCCTCAGACCCAGTGACGCTAGGGCTGGCAAGAGTATGCCAGAAACAGAGACAGAACTTCCGGCCCTCTCTGGATCAGCTGATCCACGGGCCATGGGCTGAGGTTAAAGGGGCTCCTTCATCTCAAAAATAATAAGACCTCCCCGAAAATCAGGTCAAGTGTTTATTTTGGGGGTGGGGTGGGGGATCAAAAGAAAATAAGTCCCTGTCTTTTTTCGGGGAAACACGGTAATTTTCAAGTTTCTGAGAGCTTATTCTGTCTTTCAGGGCAGTTTTTGAAATTCAGCTTCTTTATTCTTTCCTTGTTTTTCAAGATGGAAGGCCCCTCTACATCCTTCGCCTTGGGCAAATGGACACCAAAGGTCTTGTGAAAGCTCTGGGAGAGGAATCCCTTCTTCGTCATGTGAGAAGCACCTTTAAGTTAAACACTTAGCTTTGACAAAGGTCCTTTCTTTTCATTTCTTCTTTCATGTTTTCTTTTATTTATAGGACATTCAATTTCCATCAAACAGTGTGAGATCTGGATACAGTTATTTTTAAACGATCCTAATCCACATATTTGTTGTAGTATTCCTCACAATAGTATTGATAATATAATAATATAATAACAATAATACCTCCTTTAACAACTCTCCACATTAATATTTCCTCTTTTCATGTCTCCTCCTTTCTGACTTCTGTTTCTGTTGTCTAGCCATTGATAAAATACATCCCAGATCAAAAAATATTCANGAATAGAATAGAATAAAGAATCAGGAATAGAATAGAACAGAACAGAATAGAATAATAACTTTATTGTCATGTTGAATGTGCACTGATCGGCATACATTAAAGTGAAATTTCATTGCATGCAGCTCTCAAATGTACACTACATAAACATGGCTAAACAAATACATAAATAAATATAAATTATGTATGTAATGTATATTATATGACAAAGAGAAACAACAGAGTCTAGTTCGGATGTATACATGTACAGGGCTAGAAAAATGAATCTTGCCAGTTGGACGTTGAAGCCGTTGGCCATTGCCTTCTTGAGATGCTCTTGCATTCCTGGTGATACTAACCTCCAGGGTGGTACTAATCTGGATCTGGTCTTCCTTTGGTCTCTGTCCAAAAAGAATCTGTCAGATAAAGAACAAATCTCTCCTTCTGAGTTTAGAGAGAATTCAGAAGAAGCTTTCATAGCTGTAGACCGAAGGTCCGGGAAAACAAGAACTCTCCCTATTTGGAATGGTGACATTTACAAAGGCATCTTATCTGACTATCCATTTTTCTTCCCCCAACAGTGTAACGTGCCTGAAGGTGGGCTTGTCCCCAAATCCTTGTATCAAACAGACGAAGAGTCTGAAACCGCGGATCATATTCGTCTCTGGACGGAAACCATCTATCACTCTGCAAATATTTTCAAAGGGGCCCCCCAGGAGGTAAGACTGAAGAGCACCTTCTGTTTAATGAGAGGTATAGTAGATACATTTCTGCTTTTCCATGCCACCCAGCAACGACTTGATTAAGATCCTGGAGCAGGGGTCAGCAACCTGCAGCTCTGGAGACACATGTGGCTCTTTCATCCCTCTGCTGAGGCTCCCTGTCGCTCAAAATATGTGCCACAACTGCCAATGTGCGACACCCGCTAGCATGCGATTTATTGAGCTTTTCAACAACCGGTAGGTTTTGTGGCTCCCGGTGTTTTCTTTTCTGTGGGAAATGGATCCGAATGGCTCTTTGAGTATTTAAGGTTGCCAACCCCTGTCCTGGAGAAACAGAAATGGAGAAGAACATTGGGCACCATCTAATAAAATGAAATTCAGTGGTGAAAAGAGTAAAGTTCTACATTTAGGCAAGAAAAACAAAATGCACAGGTACAGTATAGGTGGTATCTTCCTCAATAGTAGTAACTGTGAGAGGTATCTTGGAGTCCTAGTGGACAACCATTTAAATATGAGCCAGCCATGTGCAGCAGCTGCCAAAAAAGCCAGTTCTAGGCTACATAAATAGAGGGATAGAATCAAGATCCCGTGAAGTGTTAATACCACTTTATAATGTCTTGGTAAGGCCGTACTTG